GGTGACAAGATGCTTGCTCTGTTTGAAGCCAGGCTCTGCCTCGGAGAGACGAGGCTTCTCCTCCTGTGAGACTTGGCGCATGGGCAGCACCGCAATTCGCATTCTGCCTGGAGGAAATCGACGAGCTCCTGAGCACGATCTGCACGCTGACGCTCCCACGATACCTGGAGCGAGAGCTCCTCAATCTCTCCTTCGCTGGCGGCGGATGAGATGATGTCGACTGTCGACAGAGAGAACCGCGGTCCCTTCTTCTTTGGTGACGCAAATTCGTCGTCGGGCGCGGCGTTGACTGCCTTGGGCAGGGGAATGCGGCCCTCGGCGGCGATGCGGGCCACCTCTTCCTCCTTAGCGAGGGTCTTGTAGACGTCGCGTTCCTGTTCGAGCATCTTGATTCGCTCGAAAGCCTCGCCGAGCTCCTGCTCCATGCCCACCATCTGGTAGCGAGCTTGGAAAGCTTCTTCCTCGCGGGCCTTGGAGCGCAACTTCTCGGCGTCAAGGTTGTCGGAGGCGGCGCGCCAGCCTTCGCGGGAAGCTTTTAGTTCTTCTTGAAGCTTGATGATTTGGGACTCGTTCTTGAACGTCTTTTTGCGCGCGAGCTTGATTTCCTTCTCCCATGCTGCTTTTGTGTGTGCGTAAGTCTCTTTTGCGCGGCCGTATTGTTCCTTGAGAGGATGTTAGCATCATTGACTTCCGTCCCTTGGACTGCGAGAGATGAGCCGTACCATGACGGTCTCGAGACGCTCGCTCACGCGCTGCTCTCGCTCTTTCCCCTTTTCCAGCTGAACCCGCAAGACCTTGGACTCGTCTTTGTATCTGCGCAGTTCCGTCTCGGCCTCCTCGCGACCCAACATGGCGCGCTTGAGTGCGGCATCGGCGGTCTTGCGCTCGAGAGTCTTTGACTGCATGGCGAGGTTGTTGAACTGGGAAATCTTCTCATGGACGGAGCTGTCTCGGCCTCCAGGACTACTGCGAGGCGAGGTGAAGAGGTTACGAGCTTGCTGTGTCTTGTTTGCGCGGTCTGGGGTCATTGGACTGAGTGGCCCGCCCGGCGAGGACGGTTGATCGGCGCTGTCGGCCATGGTGGTGATGGCGATGGTGTTTCTGTGGTTATCGTGCGGTTTCTGTCATGCAGGATGCGTGGTTTATAGTATAGTTGTGCTTTGGGAAACTGTCTGCTTCGAGGGGTCGATGCTCGAAGACGTTTTGCATGTGTCGCGGCGAGCAAGAATGACGATGATGGCGTTGGGAGGTGAGAAGAAAGCCTTAACGGAGGTGGTATGGATCATGTATGGTAGGGTACTATCCGCAGAAGCCAAAAGTAAAGGTGTATTGTATTGTAGCTGTGTCCCAGTCCAGGTTGTGGTGTGGGTAGGGGCAGCACAGCAAGAGAGCAGGTGGGCGGCTGTTTACAGAGCGGGCGCTGGAGTTGCTGCAGGTGGGTTGTCTGGGTGACGCGGCGGATTGGTCTAGCGAAATGGCTCATTTGGCCCTGGGATTGGTTGGGGGGTCGAGTGACATATGTAATCAGCTCCACTTTTGGGCGAAGAAAAAAAAGACGTTTTTCAAAAGTTGGGCAGCTGCTTAATGCGGTATGTCACTCGGTAGAAGGATCCTCCATTGAAAACTTGGGTACGGATACTTGAGGGAACTCGATAAACAACATAGGGGCTACATGCATATAGGAAACCAATGCATGAGGCAGGAAGATGGAAAGAAGGGATGGCGATGGATTAAATGACTTTTACTCACAGCCTTTTCCTTCTAGCTAAAACACTTCCACTGAATACTATGTACGGAATATGGATTTAGCTCCCGGCCCAGAGATGGAGGGTTTCTGCCTGTTGCATCTGAAGATTCCCCAACCTGCATTGTGTCGCACAAGTGGATGCCCACTATCCGTACCAGTAGTACTCCGTACTCCGTAATACCTTACCTTTTGATCGTTCTGACCAGGGTCACAGCTTCTGGAAGCTCTTTCCGTGTACTCCGTTTCCGAACTAATATCATCATCCATGAGGTAAGCAGCCAATGCATGAACACAGCTCGGCATAGCTCGAGGCTTTGCTCTTTTAATTAGGTGCTATCCTCTTCTGGCACTCCTCAAATGCTTTCGTAAGCAGCTCTAAGCCACTAGCCCATTCGAGAGAGCTGCCACCGGCTGCCACTTTATGTGTAACTCACCCGTCTCCAGGGAACCCTCCTGCATTCGGTCCAGTCTTGCCAAAGTCTCCAGAAAGCTGCAAAGTGTTCCCTAGATCAGAATCAGAACCTCCAAACATCCAAGGGTCCCCAACTTGTCAAAAGAAGACCCAGAAAAGGGGGTCTCCTCCCATCGGATGGTTTGGATCCGCAGCGACCTATCACACGCCATCTAAAAGTCACTTTTTTTTATTCTGTCTGCACTGCTGCTGCGCTTTCCTCGCTCTCGGCCTCCACCTCATCGCCGTCCCGTCCGGCCGTATTTTGCCCATTGCCAGGTTCCGGCGGGGTGGGCAAGGAATCCGTCCGCGTACGGATACATACTCCGTACATTCCCATCTTTTTTTAAATATATCTGGAATCGTGTCCCGTGGGATTGGCCAGGCCACATTGAACAACGTGACATCTGCAACGCGAACTCCCTAGAGCTTCCTAGCACCAAGGGCGTCGATCACTTAAAGTAGTTTCCCCGGCAGTGAGACTTTCCGAACGGGCAACCGTACCCAAAGCTTCCTATCCTACCAACTACACCTCACCTCACCTCGTCTCGCCTCACCTCCCCAAAGACACACACACACACACACACACACACACAAACATACAATGGTCGATGACGCAGCGAGCCTGCGGCAACGCAAGCGCGTCGAAGAAGTCGACTCGGACGGCAACGCCATCGATGAGGACGCACCGGCTGTTTCCAAAGGAGAGAAGAAGAGCAAAAAGTCCAAAAAGAACAAGACGTACACGGACGAGTACAGCCCCTACCTCGACATTCTCCGCCTCCTCAGCTTCTTCTTCCTCGCCTCGTGCGCCCTGAGCTACCTCCAGAGCGGCGGCGAGAGCTTCTTCTGGGGCCAGAAGAATAAACCCTGGTACATGAAGCCCAGCTACTGGAAGGCCAAATGGGTATGTGTACTCTTCCTCGCCCTTCTCCCATTCCCAAAGCCCCAATTCACCTTCCCATCCCCATCCTATGGAAGCGCAACAGACAAGAACGGCTCAAACAGAAAGCTAACATGACCCCAAACCCCCACAGAACGGCCCCCTCTACCTAACCCCCGAAGAACTCCTCCAATACGACGGCTCCGACCCCTCCAAACCAATCTACCTCGCCATCAACCACACAATCTTTGACGTCTCCGCCAATCCGCGCATCTACGGCCCAGGCGGCTCCTACAACGTCTTTGCCGGCCGCGACGCCTCCCGCGGCTTCGTCACGGGCTGCTTCGTCGAGGACCGCACCCCGGACATGCGCGGCGTAGAAGACATGTTCTTACCCCTGGACGACCCCGAAGTCGACCGCCACTGGTCGTACGCCGATATGCAGGCCCTCCAGGCCGAGGAGCGCGCAGCGGCGGAGAAGAAGGTGCATGATGCGCTGAAGCACTGGGTTGATTTCTTTAGCAAGAGTGATAAGTATGGTGAGGTGGGGCGGGTGAAGAGGGAGGATGGGTGGTTGGCTAAGGAGAAGAGGAGGCCGCTTTGTGAGCAGGCGCAGAAGGGACGGGTGAAGAGGGTTGTCCCTGGACAGGAGAAGAATTAAGGCTGAGACATGATGTCTATGGGTTGGTGTACTTCCTGTCGGGATTTGGTGTTTGTGTTTTGATGATGATTCACTGTAGTATACTAGGGAGGGAGAGAGAAAGAAGGGAAAAGAGGCTGTCTTTCGTATAACATGGAGCCGGCGGACCTTTTCAAGATGTTCGATGTCTGCGCTATACTTTTCCATTCCTATGTGACGTATATGACGTTCAGAGGGGAGAAGTTTTCAGATTACGGACCCAATGGAAACCGACACGTCCTTGGTCTGCTTGGTAGTTCCGTCAGTAATCCTCGTGCCGTGGAGTTACCTTTTCTAAGCTACCGACTCGAGGCAAACTCCACTAGAGAGGTAATCCTAGAGTCTTTTGTTCTTTGAATTGACCTACTCTATATAGCACTCGGCGTGGGTAGCACCTAGACGGCAGATGGCCATCCTCACATCAGAATGAGTTGATTACACTCCGTTGCGGACGATGCTGTCTTCCAGTGTCTGATCAGGTAAATTAACAGTTTATAATTTCAAAGAACCAGGTTCTGTACTAACAAGAAAATAGATACGCAGTACTGAACAGGGCCAAACGAAAAGCGGCATGATTTACCAGAATCAATAAAACTCGATTTAGATGCTATAGCAGGAGGCCCGCAATCCCAGCGTTTTTCCAACACGGACCCCATATACACAGAGAATCCCGTCTAGTTGTGTTTTGTTATCTCGTCATACATCACATCCCCTTCGCGGGAATATGCCACACCCAAAAGTGAGAAAAGGAAAAGTGAATGGTATTAAGTTCATCATCACAAAGAAATTGGTTTGTTTACACCCGTAGTAATAGCCCAGTAGTAGTAGTCCAGAAACCGAAACTCCTGGCCCGTACCCCCACCCCCCTGACCCCCCCATCCCGAAAAGCACACCGACAAGGTAACTAACCCCCTTACATGAGCAGGAAGGCAGCGCCGAGAGCGAGCAAAAAGGTGCCAGGTGCGCTGAGGGAGACGGCGCCGGCAGTAGGGGGAGAAGACGGGGTAGCAGAGGAACCACCGCCGTTGTTGGAGCCGCCGTTGCCGGAACCGCCACCGTTGTTGGAGCCGCCGCCGGCACCGCCGGTGGGGGAAGCGGAACCGCCGCCATTGGAGCCACCGGCTGCGCCACCGCCGGGGATCTGGGCCTGGGCGACGTTCTTTGCGGCCTTTGCGTAGTTCTCAATGGAACGGGTTGCGTTTGCCTTGGTGCTGTTTGGGGAAATGTAGGTTAGCATTGAGGTGTCATTCCGAGTTTGCTTGTGTTTGTAGGTGGTGTGGGAGAGGGTGAGGGTGGTGTTCATGCGTCTTGTGTCATCGTCCGAAAGCTGAAACGTGGTGCAGCCACGAGGACGGCACGCGCTAACCGGGGGGATGCCAACACTCTTCAAGAAAGCTTGACGTTTGCCGCGAAAAACACCAACGACTGTGAAGTAGAGGATTTGAATAGAACAGAGGGTAGACTCACTTCTCATTGATAACCATCACCATGCCGTTTTGGCAATGCTTGCCCTGAGAGCAGTAAAGCCACATGGGCGTGGTGGAGTTGACCATGACGGTGAAGACGGGAATCTGGCCCTTGGCGGCGGAGGCGGCGACGGGCTGGTAGCCAGAGTAGACGCCCTTTGCCGAGGTGTTGACGTTGGAGACGGGGATGCACGGGTTGTCAAAGGTGGACTGTACGACGGAGTGGTTGCCGCCGCGGAACTGGAACTGAACCATGGAGCCGACGGGGGCGTTGATCTTTTCCGGGAAGAACTTGAGGGTGTTGTTCGTGGAGGCGACGGAGACGACTTGGACGTCGACGGCTATGGGAATTGCGTGTCAGCCTACTGTTTGGTTCCGTGTACCATGTTTCCCGTTTGTCTCTTCCCCCGTAAAAGCTTACCCGAAGCGACGGCGGCCAGAGCCGAAACAACCATGGCTGAGATATGCATCTTGATATTGATTTTATCGAGTTTTAAAAACCGGGGAAATAGTGTCGTGAATAGTGGTTGTCGAGAAGACGAGTCGAGAGAGTGACTACTAAAAGTTGGAGATATTCGAAATAGCGACTCGCGCTTTTTGGTAGGACTAGCCTCTTGAAGAAGTTGAACAGAATTAAACGTAAACGGAAGAATAAGAAAAGAAGCAAATAGGAAATCCCGCCTCGTGAAAGTTGTCAGTGATGGAATCTCTAAGAGAAGAGGGAACTCGGAAAGTAGGGGGGTGCGAGGGAACGGCATGAATTTAAGCAACCTTCGGGATCGTCCCAAGAATTTTGTCGCACGCCTCGACGACGAGATGCCAGAACAAGGGGACCCTCAGACCCCTGCTCTGGCGGCCGTCCTGTGGTGCCTGGGTTGTCGTCTTGCATCTGAACAACCGTGACAAGCAAAATGATGCCCACCCCCGGCGGCGCGACATCAGTTGTACAGCCGACAGGGGGGTAAGGCGACAAGGCGAAGGGATGAGGCATGGGTGGGCAAGGCCTTTGGAACGTGCGGTGGTGTTGCACTGGGGGCGAGTGGAGGAGGCGAGGACTTGAAGCGAGGCGAATGGGCCATTGGGCACATCGTGTATGAGTTGCGACTTGCGACTTGCGAGGAGATAAGGGGAGGGGAGAGAAAGGTCAGGGGGGGTGTGAGGGAGGCTGATGCAGCAGTGGTTGAAACACGTTTTGACCATCACAGCCGGGCCATGGGTGTGAGAGCCTACCCTGCATACCCGCCGTATGTCTCTTGTGTGTTCAAATTGTGTGCGGAAAGCGTACGGATAGGTCAATGATGGACCTGTTGAGTACAGCCCAGGACAAGAAGAAACACATCAAGACCCGACCTTGCAGGAGATTGCCTGTCTTCTCTGCCCTTGAGAGGAGACTGAGAGGCCTTGCTTTGCACTTGCTTGCTGCCTTCTGTCGCTGTCGGTGGACTCTTTTCTCAATGCTTGGCGGACAGGACAGGACAGGACAGGATATGCAGGCCAATCTGCCTTCTACCGCCTAACAGTAGCTAATAAGATGGGTTTGCCGCAAGGTGCCGTGTAGGGAGCCCTTGTTTCCAGTTGCCAGACTTTTCAGAAGCGTAGATGGATCATGGAGTACGGAGTATACTAGTACGGGGAAACCCCAAGCCAAGACGCGCGGAAGGACAAGAGTGCAGTAACTTGCAGGGATTGGTGGAAGCCGTTCTAGCCGATCTACATGGCCCTCTTCCGTCTTTGAGGGAAAGAAATGAAGGGATCTGGATAAGTCGATCCGAAGAGTCGCAAACATGGTTGGAGTTGCTTAGACCTTGGACTAAGATAGACGCAGTTGTAGTTGCGGATGGATCGTTTGGCGCACTACGCCACGCCACGCCACGCCACGCCACGCTATGCTGCGGCATGCTCAACGTCAACTGATGATGACGGGCCGGGGATGAGACCAAAAGAGAGAGCGCGCGAGACTCACGAGACAAGAAAAGACGGCAATTGGGTTTTGGCAACACCAGGGCAGTCTATGCCTTAGTACCTAAACACCTAATTGCGGCACTCGACGCCCAAGCTCTGGTATGCTACGCTTCACGATGAGGTGGGTTGTAACGTCAACGTCGTCAGAGTTGGGACCAGACCGATCTTGACAGCAAGGCCAGACAAGAAAAGAACAGTAGGTGTAACGGCAGTTCGTCCGCCTCTACCTAGTCCTGTAACCTGTTGGGAAGAAAAGTCATCTCATCAAGACATCAGCCCGTTCTGCCCCGTCAAACCACAAGCCACGACTTTAGCGCACTCGCATTCAAGGAAAACTCACACACCTACCACCCAACATGTCAGACGATAGAGAGAGTGTGTGTGTGAAGACTGAACAGTGAAGCAACGGTCACATATTCGTCTATCCATACTTGCAGCCTGATGTTAGCAACGAGAGTCGACTGAGGAAAGGACCCCCGGCAGCACGGCGCAACTCTGCAACGAGACCAAGACAAGCCAGCATCCTCGAGGCCCACGCCCCCCGGGTTGATTGAGGGTCCTGCTGGTACCTAGTCACATACTCGGTAGGTAGTCGACAATGGCGAGGAGGAGGAGGAGGAGGAGGAGAAGCAGGAGGAGACCTTGTTCAAAAGCTGTCGGACGACGTCGAAGCCGAAATAAGGTTGAGGTCATGCACGGTCCACCCAACGACCCAGGTACCCCCGTACCATCCGTACCTTCGTACCTGATTCCCCGCTTATTCGATCCAGCGCCCTTCTCATTGGCCAAAACCTGCGACTGGTCTCCAAAAGAGGCTGGCGCTCGGATGTGCTTCACCTTTCTCCTTCAGCCCTCTGACACTTTCGCGACGTACCCTGTTTCATCCACTCCGTCCCTCGCTCTTTCCCCCCAGGAACTACCCATCTCATTCTCGCCCATTCTTCAACTCTCCTCCGCCTTCGCTTCCCAACTCCATGGGTCTTAGTTACTTCGATGGATCTTATACTACTGGCTACTGCCTCACATGGACAACGGATAATGGATGACATGGCCTAACTAACCCTTCCCGTCCGTCCCTCCGTCCTCCGTCCTTGTCCCGGACCACATTGCGTCCCAGCCCTCTCTTAGCACCGCTCAACTATGCACCAGTCTGCCGGTTGGCGTGACGTCGTCCCTTGATTCTGCCCTGGCGTAATTAAATGCCTAACCGCTCTCCGTGTCTCCAGTCTCCGCCAGTCTGGGGCTCTAAAAAGAATTGTCCGATTCACAAATGAAGTGCCCACCGAAACCAAGAAACATGATCCATGCCCTTGCTCGCCTTGGCTATGTTAAGTCTGTCCAGGACTTCAAACAGGCTCTGGTGCTCTACTATGTAGGAGTCTTGCACACTAGTCAACTCGTCCCGGTGCACCGCCGTTGCTTGTCACTGCTCGGCTGCTTCTTCCCGCCATCCTATCAGGTCTGTGAGCCTCAACCCAGACGATCCAGACACACACAACCCTCGACCCGCCTAGCAGCAAGAGTCTTACTGTCCCGGCCCTCTCACAATCACGACCATCCCTCGGTCGTCACAGAAGAGACGCTTCAAAATGGAGACACACATTGGCGTCTGATGTTTTGCCTGCCTTGTTCCATTTCCTCCCATCTTTGCTTCTTCTCCCCCTTCAACGTTCACAGACATCTCGCCCGCGGCCAACGGGCTACGAGAGTCTCTTCAACCCATGGAGGAAAAAGTAAAAAGGAGAGCATCCCCTGTCTTGCACTGTCACTCACCAAAGCGGCGATGCGGCTCCAAGTAGCAACACCAGCCACGGCAAATAGTCCTGGATACATCATACGCCAGATTCGCTTTCCCAAGATCTAACATCCCGGCCTCCACACCCACACCGGCTTTTGCTTTCTATTCTTCTACTTTCCACTCGAGCGCTTCTTCATGCCCACTCTTTGCCATGACGGCTTCCCCGACCTTTTGACTCTCTTTCTCTCTCTTTCTCTCGCAACTCTCAAGCCCGTGCCTGACTTGCAGTTTCTACCTAACCTTACTCATCGCAGCCCGCGGTTCGCGGTAACTGGGATTAACATGGCTTCCCTGCAGTCTTCACCTGCATGATCTTGTTGCCCTCCCACATGCCCTCCCAGCCCCCAGCCCAACGGCCTCCCTTCATCCGCTATTTCACCTATCCGCGTAGATCATTCACTCATATCCTGCCATGATGTGCCATCCAACTTCAAAAGGCCATTGAAAGATTCTCAGGTCCAGGGGGGAAGCCTCACGGACACCATGGCCTTTCCCGGGGCCATTACTACGAGGACCATATAGCCGCCTTTCTGATATACCTCACAAAGAGACCCTCTGTCGCCCGCCGTCTAGCCGTCTAGCACGTTTCGTCGTCTAGACGACTGTCACGATTCCTCCCTTTGACGTAGCCAGTCGGGGTAATAACTCCCCGTCTCAAGGCAGAGAAACGAAACGCTTCCTGGCCCTGGTATCGATCAATGGTGAAATCAATCATCAGTCCCCCACCACTCAATGACACTCCAGTACTCTACGACTCCCTCTTCACGTCTCTCAAATCTCACACCTTGCTCCCGCAAATTCCAAAAGAGAGAGCTAATAATAGTCAACGGCTTTCGAGCAAAGTGTCCAAGCCCTCGTTCGTTGTCGAAAGTTCAACCCATGGATGAAATGACAGGTTAACTCTCGCTCAATTCAGAAACCATAACCCGTGTTTGGAATGTTCTTTTCTCTCCCCCCCTCCCCTCCCCGTCCTCTGGCATCATCCCATCTTTCTCTTCTACCACAGAAGGGAAAACTCTCCTTTCAATGCACCGCCGCCGCTCCTACCCTAGATCTCGGCCAGCATCGCCGTGAACCATAATATCAACGGTCCTTTCCTCTTCCCTTCCCTCCTGCCTCTACAACACACACCTTGTCAGAACCATGCAAGGCCAGCCCGGACAAACAAACAGACTTTTCACGAATAAGTCCAGGGCTAACCTGCGTCAATCAACCGTCGCCAAGAATTCTCGACAAACTCATGTTTCGCGAGACAGGTGAGAGAGAGGCTAAGGCACTGAGTGTGTGACTGATGGCAAAAAGAGAGAAGATTGGGCCAAACCTTTCTTTGACACGCACGACCCCCGAATCCGACTCAACTCGCCTTCTCCGAACATGTGCTCTGCAGTCCCAAATTGACAACATAGGCTGCTTCCCTCCCAGGCCACATCCTAGTGGAAAAAGAAGGGAGCAGAAAGACAGATCCGATCGCGAAGGCGGGGACTTGTTTTCTCCCCCTAAGCTTTCCCTTTGCTTTGCTCTGCCAAGGAATTGAACTGTCGATTTCTTCTGAGACTCTTCCCTTGAGTCTCCGATGACTTGGCAACTGATTGAATAGCCCCAACTTGGCATGGCTTGAGAATTCGTTGAAAGTAGGTCTTGGTGCGCTCTTGGCATGTATTATATCGTATGGGGCTGGTGCTTTGGTATCAACTAAACTAGGAGACCAGGTCACGCGATAATTTCAAACCTCACAAAGTCGTCGGATCACAAATCTGCTTCAAACGTCGAGGCGATGATTCAACGGCTGGTCTTTGGTGGAAGCGGAACAGACCCCCAAGACTGAATCCTCGCATCTTCATCTTAATCTCGTCTTGCTTCAACTTGAGACTTGCGACAACTTAGGTGTGGCTTTTCACAGTGTATGAGGCCAAGACAAGTGTCCAAGAACCTCAGCATCCCGCGGGACCGCGCTTAAACCATCGTGAAGACATTTTCAACCAAGATCTCCTCTCGGCTATACAGCGCTTGTAAGTGTGTAAAAATCGGCAGGGACGCTGGGCGCCAGTCCAGACCCAGACGTCATAGCGAGCGAATTAGACTTGTTCCAAGAAAGAAGGAGAACAAGGCCAATGTGAGAACACAGCGGCTTCGTAGTCTGTAGTCCACTAGTGCAGGCAGTCAAGAGGCGCATATGTCGGCCCTGAAAACCCACGATGGATCAGTCGAACGGCAGTGGGATTCAGCCGCAAGTCACCTCTCCATGCCGTCTAGACCCAAGACACTTCGTGAAAGGCAAGATATCATTGGTTTCTAATACTCAGAAAAAGGATAGCTATCCGCCTCTTGGAACTAGTTTCAACCCCAGACTCTCATCGCCCTTGAAGAAACACAACCTCTTGCTTCAGACTAGTCAAGTGCGGGCTCAGCTGTCACCCGACTCCCGTCTCTAGAAACACCTGTCTCCGTACCCCGACTTTTTGGATATTCGTTTAGGAGGAGGCTCAAGTTCTCAACCAAGGAGAGAGCATACTGATTCCAGCGGTCCAACAAAGAGGCCCAAGGCTCGTTGTGTCAGCGTAACGTTTCGTCCCAAGGCCGCCCTCCCCCCTATCCCCACCAGACGTAAAGAGCCTCATCCTCGAACAACAAAAGCGTGCAATTTTAGCCGATGGTTCAAAACTCGACAGGTCCAATGTGGGTATGCTACTGTGTACGGATAGCACAGAGACAATTACCCTCGGACTTTCTTCCATTTCTGTTCATCTAGGTAGCATACCCCCTTCCGCATCCCCCTCTAGACAGACCATCCCACTACAAGGTCTATGACATCTCTGGTGTCTAGCGTGCCGTTTCGTCTGAACCTCCCCAAGTTACAATGTTGAGGCAACAAAAAATTTCGAATGGCAGTTGACCGCCGTTCGTACTTTGGTTTTACCGCTGTAATAGCTATTCCCGGGGTTTTCGGCATTTTTATCCGCTTCCTTGATCGACCGGGCTGCGGCAGTAACACACAACACCATGGTGCGCGCACAAGCAGGTCGGCCTAAAGTCCAGACACCGATTATTCTGTAATGCGTCAGGCAAAGACAGATGCCCTTAGTGTCAGAATGACCGTGTTTCCAGTCTCCTCTGCATCGTAGTAAACATGCCTGATCATCACAGCGTGGGCTGTGCTCCACGTGATCGACCGGAGCAAAAGCGTTGCCTTCCCGACATATTGCATGAGTCCCTCGCAGCCTGTGTGAAAAGTTGTGGTAAAGGCCTCCCTCACACCTGTTCCACGGACATGGCCGCCACAAGGCTGATGAAGAAACGAGGATCACAACATTGTCTTGTGTAGATCCGACGATGATGCTGCAGGATTCGGTCGACGATGAGACTGATCCCCACGTTCCATTCCCATGCCATGAAATACTTGAGGCAGGCTCATATGGCCTCGCTTATGGTCTACTGTCTGCTTGATGAGCGACTCGAGATCTCCGGACCCGCAGCGGTCTTCGTCGAAATAAGCGGTGGAGGTAGTGTCGAGCTGACAGCTTCGTTGCCGTGTATCACCCGCCAAACAAAGGCCCAAGGGACGTGGCCAACAATTTTCCAAGTCCCAACCGAACAGCACTTCTTTTCCCTCGGAGCCTAGAGTGTAGTGAACGAAAAAGGGGTATCGTTCATCATTTCGTCGTTTTCTGATCTCAACCCCCATGCTAGAAGTCCATGAGCAGCTGAGGGGCAATCTTCTCCAAATCCTCGACCTTTGTTCAACCAGTCAGCGAGTTCCCTCAACATCAGAAAGATCCAGAGACACTCACCTCAAGAAAGCCACCAGGCCTCTCATGCACACAGCGCGCAATGGCCTCCCTCACAAAGATATCCATATACTTCCCCGCCGCCAGATTGGCGTCCTTGCTGAGCCTCGTGTCGTCCTTTTCAAAGAACTCGTGCAGCAGCCGCGTGAGCAACTCGGGTGGGATCGTATTGTCCGGGCCTTCGTCCTCGCCCTCGTCTTCTTGCTCCTCTTGCTCCTCTTCCTCTGCATCATCGTCCGCTTCTCGCTGGCCTCGCGATGGCGGCGCATCGCTGTCGGAGAGCTCAAAAGGTCCCGACTTCTTGCGGGCCGGCTGCTGCGCAGCTTTCCGCTTCGTGCCTGTGACTGGCTGTTGGGCTTTGCCAGGGCGGCCGCGCTTCGCTGGTTCGGCTGCTTGTCTCGGCATGTTTGTAGTTTCTTAGGCTGCCCGCGCTGCTTCAAGAGTGACGGTATGCTTGCTTCGAGGTAGTAGTAGTAGGAGCTAGACCGAGGTGGTGGCGTCAGATCAATAGTTCTACCGTGTCAAGTTTGGTGACAGAGATTCCACGTGTCGACGGCGTGATAACCCACTTCTCCAAGTAAACACAGGGTGTCAGATGTCAGAGGTGCATCTGCTGAACGACGAGATTCGATCTGGTCTGGGAATCAGGCGATCAGGGCGGGGAGCACGTGGGGGAGATTTAGAGCTTGGAGCGGGACGCGACTGTCACTGTCACCTGTGGAGTGCAAGCGCGTCTGGGCGAGCTAGCGCCATTGGCCAATAAGAACACCACAACAGCCAAGCTCAGGAAGGGATGCATCACGAATTTTGGTTTGAATCAACTCCAAGGTATAACCATCATGTCGCAGTAATCAGGTGGGAACTCATTCGTAGAATCAAAGAAATCTTCCTATTGTACCGCGGAAGTCTACCGTCATGCAATACCAAGGAAAATCCACCCCAGGATCGACCAGAAGCCGGTAAAGTCCAGCGAGGACAGGTGTTGCGTGAACGAGTGCAATCGAGAATTGCTTTAGTGTACAAATTACAGTGGATTAGGTAGCAAGCAAAGCTCTTCAGGTCATGTAAGAGAACGCCTTGCCGATGCCAGTCTAAACCACGAAGGACTGGCCGATCCAGGCGTGCCACGTCTTGTGGTGCCTGCATCCAAAGCCCCTCCGCAACATCCATCTTCCCCATTTTGTCAACCGATTCCTCATCTGATCCTAACCAGTAACGAATCCCCACAGCCCGGGTGTTCGCCAACTGCCCAACCCGCCACCAGTGAAGAGTTTATACACGAAGAAGTGTCAAAGGCATTTAGCCAGAGCCACCCTTGAAGGCCTTGCCGAAGAGCAGAACCTGGAGCTGATCGTAGATGGACAGAACACCAGCACCGGCAACACCACGAAGGATGTTGGCACCGGCACCCTTGAAGAGAGACTTGACACCCTCCTTGGCGATGATCTGCTTGCCGGCGTCGAAGGAAGACTTGTACTTGACGGCCTCACCAGAGGTCATCATCATGCGACGACGGATGGTGTCAAGGGGGTAAGAGGCGATACCGGCACCGGTGGTGACGAGCCATCCAAGGGCGAAAGAGGCAAGGAAGTTGTTGGCGAGGGTTCCGGTGAGGACGACGGGCTTGAGGGAGTCGTACATTCCGAAGTACAGACCACGGTAGACAACGATACCAGCAACGGAGGGCATGAAACCACGGTAGAGACCGGCAATACCGTCAGAGGCGAGGGTCTTGCGGTAGACGTCAACGAGACCGTTGAACTGGCGCTCACCACCCTTCTTGGCGGACTTAGCGTCGTTGGCCAGACGGGTACGGGCGTAGTCGAGGGAGTAGACGAAGAGGAGGGAAGTGGCACCGGCAGCACCACCGGAGGCCAGGTTGCCGGCCATCCACCAGGCGTATCCGTCACGGTCCTTCTTGAAGCCGAACAACTGCTTGAACTTGTCGCGGAAAGCGAAGTTCAGGGCCTGGGTGGGGAAGTAACGGATGACGTTGGCAGTGTTGCCACGCCACAGGGACATAACACCCTCATCGGCGGCGGTGCGCTTGAAGCAGTCGACGATACCGTCGTACTTGCGGTCGAGACGACCCTGCTTGAGCATCTCATCCTGTGTGGCTGTTAGATGCAGTTCGACTGATGGAAGATCTGGCAGTGCAGCTGGCCAAGGTCACGTGTCATCTTGTGATAACTTTTCTGACCGGGGTCACCCGGTCCGACCTTGGCCGACCAGCTGTCCAGGTTCGAATGAGCAGCAGCATTCACTAACCTGGTTCTGAATGAGAAGCTTGATACGCTCAATGGGAGCAGCAGCAGTCTTGGAGACAGCGGCGGAGACACCTCCCACTATAGGAAGCCGTTAGTAATTGTAAAAGGTATTTATCGCGGTACCGGGATCAGCTCGCCGAGGTCGGCAAGCTGATCGATGGCAGGTGCCGGCATCGTTATGTGTTGGGTAACATACTAAGGAAGTCGGCCACGAAGGGCTGTGGAATTCGAGTTAGCAAATTGATTCATCCTGATGCTGGTGTTGATATCCGAGGGCGGGACGAATTAGGCTTTATCCTTCCATCAGCGACGATAAGCTGAGTAGCAGACCATTGTCGCGTCAAATCCAACCCATCGACTCGAGACTCGCGGTGTCCCGATGGAAGCCATGGCTGGATGCAATGGCCATGGATGGTAGACCGATGATGGAAGGAAGCGACGTCGCCGGCGAGGTGTATTTTTTTCCCGCAGCCTCGGATAACAGTGAAGGGGAGGATGAGTAGTAGCTTACCGGCATGCCCAGGACCTTCTGCTTTTCGACGGGAACAGACATCTTGGCTGTGGGTTTCTTCTCAAAAGATCAACCTCAGAGAAAAGAATGAGCGGAGATGGACGGAGGAATAGAAGGGGATGAGAGGACGGAAGAGCGAGTCGAGAGAATTTAAGTGCTCCGACGGCAGCAGGTTTGAGGGAGGGAAAAAAAAATTCCTGCAGGGTGGCCGAAGAAGGAACAGCTTTTGAGCGAATCTTTCCGGGCCGCGCTAAGAAAGGAGCACCGACCACCCCAGGCCGGGCTCAAGGTGCGTGAGAAGTGGATAAGAGTGGGCCCTTTCTCTTCGCTGGCCTCCAGATTTCATACTTGGTAGAGAAAGCGCACTGGTGCAGGTGTCCTCTTTGGCTCTTTCCCTTCTATGGGTGGGTACGAAGTACTTGCTGGCTAAGGTACCTTAGGTACTGTGGCACTGGGAAGGCGCGGGTGGGTCGCCCCCTTCCGCTGTTCCAACCCCCAACTTCCATCACTGTGGGAAGGTGCAGCAGCAAAAGGCGAAGTTTTTCTTTGGCCCGGCAACTCAGGCCAAATTCTGTGGCCTCAGGCCGAAGCGCTAGTTTGCCATGGAATTGAGATACCGGTTCACCCCGAGATTTGCACGGGGACTCCGCGGCCAATGTTTCTTGCTGGGCTTTTCGGGAAGCTGGACGGCAGCATCGTCCGTCAGATTTCAGGTCGTTTTAGTGCTCACCAGCCAGGCACTCTGGGGGAGAGTTTGTCACTGAAAGCCAAAACTCCAGACTCGAGTGCCCATGACGATATTCCCAAGATTGGCTACTGAGTACGGAGTACGGAGCACGGTGTTGCAAACAATAGGGGGCATGCATACGTGGTTCTAGCACTCCAGCGGCAGAGTCAATGGCATCAAGGTGCCCAACTTCGGCTAGGCAAAGGGTGCGGAAGAGGGGTGGATGTGCCAAATAGCATAGGGGTGGACGGCCTAGCCCTTGTTCTAATGACATTTCATTCCAAGCCTCGTTGTTCATCTGGAGGCTACTCGAGCTATCCCGTCTCTCTTGTTCCAGAAACATCGTCATTACCATCCGCGAAATGGCTACGGCATGGTGAAGCATCACTTCGAAGTAGTGCTCCTGCTGCTGCTGCTGCCGCCAGCTTGAAAAACCTGAGACCCAGAAGCCCATCTACAGCCTGCCATAGCAACCAGGCATTACCGACGGATATCTCATCCGGCCCCGTGTCATCAAAATCCCCCTTCATCCCGAACATTGTCTCCATGTCCCGGTGCCAAGCCGCCCAGCTTGGCTGGCTGGGCCGGGCACCACCTCTGGGAGTCTGGGGGGTCTCTTACACAGTTACACTAGACTTGCGTGCTTGTCAGCTCCTTTGAGCCGCCGCCGCTAATTCTCATTCGCAATTCGCAATCCGCCAATCGACCTGCATCCGCCGTCCCAGACAGCCGAGCTTAAAAAAAGAAAGAGACGCAATTCACTGGCTCCAGAATCCAGGGGCATGCCTGGCCCGGCCGAGTCAAGGCCTTCGCTTGCTTCGGGTCAATTCAGCGAATATGGCAGGTCTCCCAGTGCGCATCCTCTTTTCAAACTCTTCTTACGCGTACCCTCTCCGCAGACTAGGCAAAGGAGTGACATACTTGTGTACAGTAGCATCCGCACCGAGCAGTCGAGGACCGCAAATGGGACACTCACATGCCCAAGGCTGGGCAAGCGGCTCTCGGGTCAGGGTATCGAAAGGAGCTTTGTTTACATTTGCTTCGATTCGTACAGGCTCGACAGAGGCGCCGTTTGGAAATGACGGGGCAGATCTATGGATACGGCCCACGACAGCCAATATAAATTTTCGCCATCCTTGATAAGGGAGAGGGATGCGATTTCGCCTCCTTGGGCGGATCTGATACGGTACGGAGTACGGCTCTCCTTTTATTAGCATGCCCTGCGTGTCGACGTCGCACCTGAAGCAATTGACTTTTGTCAATCCAGCTGGAGCGCTGAATCGGCTGGCCAGGCAGAGACTTGGGCCAGATACATGCAACAAGCCCGGATGGTGGCTAAGGGGTGATGTTGTCAACTTGAAGAAAGTACTCAACTTCAAGTAACGTCAGAAGAGACGCCACACTGTCCTTACTCGCACCGGCAGCATCTCAAACCCAGGGCGGCGAACCCGGTCTGGGAAGCTGCCAGCTCTGTTACACTGAGGCGTTTGCGAGCAACCTGACTGCTGCTTGGCTCTTTCACTTGGACCATGAGTTATGGATAGCTGAGGATGGTTTTTTCCAGATGGAGCTGGCGGAACCAAAATCTTCGACGAGGAGAACTTTGGGGCTAGGATACGATTCCGCAACTTCGGGGCCCCAAGAGCGGGAGGCCGGGAGACCGGGAAGAGGGATTGATGGAGACGATTGGACGGAATGCTTCCATGTGGATTGCTTCTCTGCCAGCTCAGCTTTCTCCTATTTTGACATGGGGAACCGTGAAGGAGAAAAAACTATTAACGAGACCGATCGGTCTGACTAAGGAAACGAGGAAACAGGGATACATTGGCTCGTCCCTCGCGACGTGCTTTCCAGTTGCCACGCCTTCTTCATCAAGCCTGCTTCAAGCCTGCAGTTTCCT